AACAAGTGCATCGCTTCTAGGAGCAAGTGCCTTACTAGTAGTAACAAAGCGAAGTGTTGGCTGTGTCGGGTGCCATGAACGAGTTGTGGATCCATGACCCGAAGTCGGTGGGGAGTCAATTGGTCGATGACCGGTTTTGGTGAACAAGCGAGTCACGACCGTTTTAGCTGAGTGGTTGATCAAAAGTGCAGGGCAGGGCCGGGGTCTTCTTTGCCGCGGTAGATTGGCAGGTCTTCTTTGCGTCTTTGATAAGGAGACCCCGGTTCTTAGACATCGATTCGGAATTGCGCCAAGTGTCAAATCCATCATCTATGCATGTGCCTCTCATGAAGGGCAGAAAGCTCTTCTGCAAGTAGAAGAGTTGTTTTGCACTGGCCGGGGGGTGTCTCTTCACTCCTGGAATGTTTGAGAACATCAAAGGCTGGTGAATTACGCATCTCGTAAATATGTCGGTTCCTAAAACGGCTTCTTCTTCATCTAGTTTGGGTTGCTACACAGATAACAGAGAGATGCCCTGTTCGTTTCAACGACGAATACATCTTCGACAGTCAGCTGAATCGGTCACACCTTCCGCCGTGCCTCACGTAGTCCTCGCGTCCCACGCGTCCCACGTTCCGAGGTCACTTGGGGAGCAGTCGGGAGGCCAAGTCTAGCCGTGCACGCGGCAGGCGCGCTCTTCTCAAATAAAATGGCCAGGGTGGGGGGGGAACTTGCACAGCCTGTTGCAACAACCTGCACGTCAACGACTCACACGGTTGGGTCATTTGACACAGATGGTGAGAAATGTCCCAGCTTTGTGAGCCATGTGACTGCCGATGGCTGCGATAGTTGTTTTTGGGGGGTTCTTGCAGAGCACTGCGAGTCCACAACGCTGAGGTGAGCCGTCCCATTGCTTGCACCGTCCTGGCCACCGAGTGCTGCTCGGAGCTTCCGGAAACAGAAAGCTTGCTGGACCGGTTGGATGGCTCGTGTGCACCAAGAAAGCCACCAATTGACCGTCCCACAACCCTGTTTCATATCAGGTTAAGATCTACTTTGCTATAGCTCAGTGATGGTCTGTCCATTTGGCTCCTTCAGACTGAAGAGCATTCTTTGTCCACTTCGCTGAGGGCTTTGATTCCGGCCTTGTTTTTCGATGCTTCAACAAAAGTGCAAGCCCAAACCCCTCAACAAAGTATTTCACTGTTCGCGAAATCCACCGAGGATTGGACGTTGTGTTGCTGAAACCAAAAGGCTGACAACAAACATGTTGATGGTGAGCACATCCTCCACCGGTTTTGCAGTGATCGCAGGTTTGATTATCTCAATTGTCAACGATGGCGTGGTTCAGGGCGATGGTCGAGCAGGCGCAGTGGAGCGATGTTGTGTTCAAAGACGGCACCAAACACCAAACACCAAGGGTTTGCATGTTTAGATTTTTGCTATACACGCACGTGATAGATTTGCTGTTCGGCAACTCGTTGTTTTTGATCAAACCTCTATAGGGCTCATAGACTACCCTTACTATGATAGTTTGACGGACACTTGGCGGCGTTTTGGAAGGAGCATGAGGGCGAGTTTCGGGATTTTGGTTTGACGATACGGGCATTTATCCACAACTTGCTACACAACCACACCATAAGTTATGATGAATTAAGAATGGCTACGGACTATGAATGTTCTACACTGCACATTGTGTATGACGAGTGTTATGTTGAACCAATCTTCCTTGCTGTTCCGTGTCGCTTCATCCTTGTGGATCACGGGAGTGCGCAGGCGGAGTGCGTTTCGGCTGCAACCTGTTTTCGCTGTGCAAACGCTACATCGTCCTCTTGGCCTACCACGCATGGTCACTCGGCCTGGTCAACGAAGGACGCGACGGTCCGTTTACAACTGCCCTGGTCGCCAGGAGCTGAAGGAGCACTTTGGGATAGGGAGATAGCTGAGATAAGCCAAAACAAAGCAGAGGAGGTGTCTTCAATTCGATTTGACCCAGAGTTTTACCGTCCATGTTCACCCTCACAGCGGGAGAGATCAAATCACGCTACAAATCACGTTAAACACCCCCCCGGAGCTCGCAGGTGATGAACTTTCCCCGTCAAAATAGATGGTTCGCCCAGACAACCGTCGACCCCTCTGCACCGTCTCTTCTGAGGCATGGGCAGCGCCTGACCTTGGCCCTGTCCTTTTGCTTTGTTAGCCGCCTGGTAAGCTTCAGCGAGAGCATTTGTTCCGTTTCCACGGAAAACCCCGAAAGATAGAATTCAGTGAATCACTCGAAAAAGGATCGAGGCTTACTGTAGTAGAGTGTCGAATGCATGTTTGATCCCAGATGTTGCCCTCCAGCTCTAAAAGCCACACAGCATCTCCGGTTGTGTTGTGGTCGAGTTGTGGCCCACCGTGCAATTGCGATTGGGGTGTTTTCGGAGGTCAAACTCAGAACCAGCCATGACAGATTTTGGAGAGGTTGTTTGATAAAGCAGTTGGATACTGCAACAAAAGAACTGCTATGTACGCAGCACAGTGGCATTTACCAATGAATATGAATCATTCCTGTCGATGAGTCTGTTCAACGTCTTCTAATTGGCTATGGGGACACTGACTCAACCAGTTGCGTGTCCCCATTGAACCCCATTGAAACGGTACTTTTCACCACCACTCTGGACCGAACAAGCCATTCATCGAAGGGATTCGATTGCTTGGGCGTCCCTGGGAAGTTGACGTGTCTTCTGCCGACTGGAAGGAATTCGCAGGTTGGACTGCTCGAATGCGGGAGTAGATCCATTGGGGTACTATATGTAAGTAATTTGATACTTGACACTAGTAGTAATGCCAGGAGTTACTAGTAGCTTCTTGCTACTAGTAGCGATGGCCTCCAACCTACTTGCGATGGCCTCCACCTAGTAGCTTCTAGTTACGAGTAGCATTCTTGCTCCTAGTAGTAAGGCCAGGAGCCCCTAGTAGCGTCCTTGCTCCTAATAGCGATGCCAGGATCCCCTACTAGCGTCCCTTGTTACTAGTAGTAAGGCCAGATACTTTCATTTGGGTGGCCCCGGAGTTGGTCGAGACCGGTCGCCAACGACACCAAGTTCTTGCGATCCATTCCTTGGTTCGCTTGCAGCTGGCCAAGCAGAACGACTGAGCGAAAGAGGTGGAAAGTTGGGGATTTATTGAAGGCGCAGCCAGGGGGGTGGAATCAACGAGCATGCTATATACATGATGCAGAAGCAAAAAGCTACTAGTAACAAGTGCATCGCTTCTAGTAACAAGTGCCTTACTAGTAGTAACAAGAAGCTAGTAGAAACAATAAGCTACTAGTTTGCAAAAGGACATGTACATGTTGGATTATGTATGTCCCTGGGTCGGCATGATGTTCACTTCAGAAGTGAGAACGAGCACCGGGTGAAACACCCAGCCTTTTGGGTACCCCAACCAATCCATGAGTCCCTTTAGCCCACTGCGGACTTTTGGTGGAATCTGAAAGTTCACAGAAAAAGAGGAAAAGCGAAGCACGCAGCCGCAGGTTACTTACTCTATGAACTATTCTTCGTTTTGTGGTTCAACCTGCTTTACACCTCTAATTATCAGCTGGACAAAGTCTGCCAGCCAAGTGGAGGCTGCTGAGCTTGGGTTAGAAGATCTCCTTCACGACATCCTGTTGCTCAAGCGTTGGTGTAGAGAATGTACACAAGCGCTATGTGATTTGCTCAGTTTGCTCAAGCTCAGCAAGCGTGCCTGTGTTTCGGAAGTTTCAAGATCGGGTATTTGGCCGAAAAGGACGATGTCGAAAGGAACGATGTGATAGCGAGGTCGGCCTGCAAACTTCCCGAAGCGCACGAACGTAACCGCGGGGGCAAGTTCTGCCAACCACGCTTTTCCAGAAGGTTAAACCGTGATTGGTATAGCTTTATGATAATGGATTCTAAGAATTCACGAGAAGATATATAACAAAACCCAGAAACACGGGACAAAAACGATGTGAGGTGAGTGAGCGAGCGAACCCCAACCCTAAACCCTAGCCCAAACATTAGTCTTAAAAAATAAGCAACCTGCTGCGTCTGGAAGAGAACTACGTGGACGAGAACCTCAACCGTCAGGACCTCAGACACTATTTCTACTGTAACTCATCCTTTTCACATGCGCAATTCTTCGCAGGCACAGTCCACCGCAGTCAAAAACAAGCAGGACTTGCCGCTGCAGCCCGCTGTCCCATCCCTTTTTTGTGCGTTGTTCCGGTTTCTGCAACGGATGATACAACATGGCGAAGCGACGACCAAACGACCTATCGTACTGATGAACCTGCCGTACGGACGCACCTACATCCACAACCTCCTTCGACTTCAGGCAATCTAGACCTCGACATGGCCCAGCTGCTGGTAGGAATCGTTGCGTGCGTGGAGCCCTTGGGCGGTGGTGAGGCGTGAGCATCAGAGCCGAAAGCTTTGATAAGGATGATGTTGTGCAGCTTGGCTCGGAACACCGCCGGAAGAAGTTGCTCAAATATAGGGCTCGCTCTCAGCGCCGGCTTGAGGCCGATGCGGCCGGCTGAAATTCCAAGCTTTGCGCAAAGTGATATGCCCAGCTTGCGTGGTTTGGCGCTCAAAAGCAGGAATAGGCCTTTGAAATGTAGAGCTAGGCGGGGCTATGGAAGCGACGCGGATGTTTTGAGTTTGGATGCTCGCCGTGTGGGCCAGTTTTTGACAGTAACTGCGTGCTCACACTTGCGGTTGACGCCCGGTCATGCCCACTGCGATCTAGCACTTGCGACTGAGGCCCGCTGGTGCCCACTGCGATTTAGCACGCGCGGTTGAGGAGGACGCGGAGGAGGACCCGGACATCTCTGATAAAATCTAACAACCCTCACCTGGCAGGTCGGGAACAACCAAAAAGCGGACACATCTGCTCTTTGAGTTTTGTGCTTTGCAGCTTTAAGAGTTTAATTGGCAAAGTGGTAGGAGACTTTGATCCTCACCGGCCCTTCCGATAAAAAGGGTTCTAGTCACGCTCGCTTGGACACACGCCATCTGAGTCAGATTCCATGTTGCGGGACAGGTGCAACGTCCGTTGACCTCCAAGTTGGCACCAGGAAAAAACCCGGAAGTCTTGGATTCGAGGACACAGCAGGTGCTTCAATTACCCACGGCTGCCTCACAGAAGATGGATCTAGCGCACAAAGCCGTTGTAAAGAATTCAATGTCGTTATGTTATGAGTCTGCCCATACACCAATCTTGTTCCCCAAGCGCCTTTTGAAAAGGGGACTGGGTGATGTTTTCGACGTCGCGTCCATAAACCAGTGAGCACAGTTTATGAGATCCGCGCTGCCTAAGTTTGAGCCATGGTCTTTTGGGCCCTGGCCATTTTGACCTTGTTTTTCCCGGCTGTTGGGCAGTTGGTGAACATCACCTTCGTGCAACTTGGATCTGGCCGAGCATCTGTTCAAAACGGGCCAAGCCATGGCGGGGAAGATGGTGCGTCTATGGAAACAAGTGGGGTGAGGCGGGTGAGATGGTGTGAAGAAAGCCAAGCACGTCATCAGAACCAGCCTTTTTGTCCGTTTCAAGATGCTACAAAATCCGATTGGCATCTCCACATTGGTTCGTACATCAGGTATCTTTGGAATGACAACCTCCAAAATTATTGGAGCCCCTAGAAGTTCTTGAAGGCCTCCTAAAAAGTCCTTGTGGTGAAGTGAGGTATGGCTGTTGACCCAGATCCAGGTCCAAGATCCTCAAAATAACCGTGTTTATCTTCCTTTAATGCGGTCAGTGTTGCCTAGCACGAGGAATGACCTCAAAGCCGTGGATTGCAGTTTGCTGTGGCATGGTCCAATCGACTCTGGCCCTCGAGCCGACTTCGGACCTGTCCCTGCTCAAGGTGAGGGCGGAAAAGGGCAAACTTTGCAATTTTTTGCGCACAAATTCATACATTTTTCAAATGGTGCAAAAATGTTCAGGAAAACCAATCACAGCTGCTGGCCATGTTTCTTCCAGCCAGCTGAGTATAATGCAGAAAAATGTGTGTCCAAGAGAAACTACTCCATGTAACTCCAAGCATCCTTTCTCCCCTCAGCTCGCCGTGTTGCAAAAGCAGGTGGTCAGAAGGTCTTGGAGGTCGTGGTCGGGCACCGTTTTTCCGTGACCCGCGCGGGGTCGCTGGAGCCTTGGCAGTGGGCGAACAAAGGGTCCTGACGGGCCACCAACAAAGCAAAACTGCACAAGCCGTCTATTGGCATGTTCTTATTTTTTGCTAGGAAGAAGAAGCTACTAGGGGCTCCTGGCCTTACTACTAGGAACAAGGATGCTACTAGGGGCTCCTGGCCTTACTACTAGGAACAAGAAGCTACTAGTAGCTCCTGGCATCGCTGCCAGGCTAGGACCCCAAAAACCTCTACTAGTGACAAGAGGCTACTAGTAGCAAAGGGCATCGCTACTAGGAGCAAGGACGCTAGTTTCTTCTATTTAGCTTATGTATATAGACGCTTCTTTCTACGTGGTTTCAATGTGCTTCAGATTCTGCGAGGAACCCTTGTTGCAGTTTGACATTACCAGTGACGTGCATCACTACTCCATCAACGAATCCATCGCCGTGGGTCGTCCAGTGCCGGATCCAGACTCGGCGGAGCCATCGTCGTGCGCGGCCGACTGCCGTTCGGCTGCCAGCTGCGACCAGTGCGTGCAACTGACGGGGTGCGGCTGGAGTGTGGTGCGGCAGCAGTGCTTCCCAGGTCGGCAGTGGCGCTAAGTTGCTCATTTGGAAAGGTTGCTGCCTGGAAAGGTGACTAGATTTCAGCCTACAGTTTTGTTGGATGGCAGTAACAAACCAGATAGGAAAGCGACCCAGCCACATACATACCCCTTGCGTACCACTTCACAATCAGTTGTTTCAAACGTTTTCCATTTGCTGGTTGGTTCTTGCAATAAAACTATAAGTTGGAGGCCATTGCTTCTAGGTTGAACAAACAGTGATGATATGAGAAAAAATAAACAATAGCGATAGCAGTCGGTAACAAGAAGCTACTAGGGGCTCCTGGCATCGCTACTGGGAGCAAGGACACTACTAGGGACTCCTGGTCTTATTACTAGGAACAAGAACGCTATTAGAAACAAGAATTTCAATTTGTATAATTAGAATGGAAACATGATCTACCGTGTTGGCTGCCGGCTCCGGTCGCAGGCCACCCGTTCGCCACGGAGAACTCCGAGTGTCCAGAGACGAAGTCGGGGACGCTGCAAACGTGGCTAGAGGAGGCTGCGACGCTGATGGACCCCGAGGCCCAGGGTTTGGAATTCAACCTGACCCAATGATGGAATCAATCAGCGAATTGAATCACAAAAATTCAGCCTGAAGGATTGAATCAGGACACCCTTTAGGATTTGCTTGAGGATTACCTGGGGTGAAACCATGTTTAGGTCACTGAAACTAGCAAGTTTGTGCATTGTCAGGCGGTTGGCACTGTTGATGATTTCCGAAGAGACAGTGTGTATGGAAAGACCTTGCAGTTGGTGACTTGGGTATTAACCAGGCTAACGCCTGGCAGCCGCCGACCCCCAGGGAAGTGGATGGCCTAGGTTTAATGGGTTAAGAGTTTTTTCGAAAAATCGGGTGAAAAAACCCTCGCAAAAGGCATGAAAGGCATGAGTAAAGCTTAGAAAAACCTTCGAAAATCCTAGAAATCCAGCGGAAAACGTTTGCAAATGGAGGAAAATGGGTTAGCATTTTTCTTTGCAAATCTGGGAACCCAAAAAACAACACGGAGCCTTTACAAGTACCTGAGAAACCAGAGGAAATGCTGGAAAACACCCTCGCAAAAGGTCTGAAAGGAATGAGTAAATCTTACAAATACCTTTGAAAATCCTAGAAATCCAGCGGAAAACGTTGCAAAATCTGAGAAAAACCAAGGGCACTGGCAGGGACCAGGCCGCGACCAGCCCGGGATTCGAGCCCGGGACCATTTAGGGACCGTGCTTATTTTCCCGCGCGGGTGGAGAGGGTGCCCCAATCCCCAGTAAGAAGCAAACCAATACATTTGGCAAAATTTTGCACAAATCTCGGGACCTTTTCGTCACTGCAACAAGGCTCCGGATGGGTAGGGGAGGTATAGCCTTAGCCTTAGCCTGGCCTTAGCCTTAATCATAGCCTTA